TCTCCTCAAGCAGGAGTCGTGAGTCCAGGACAACCCCCAGATTGTGCACCGGGTCGGTCGGGGCAGTGCAACCCCATCCAGAACCAAAGTTGGTAAAACCCCAGATACGGAAGAGCCCTGAACCCACAGCCACTCCGTCTTACCAGAGTTCAGTTGAAGCCTGTTGTTGTTGTTGCCCATCCAAACCCCCATAGTCTCCAGGCACCATGAAAGAACATCCACAGCATCACTTAATTCACATGGGACAGAGATGTATAATTGAGTACCATTCATGTACTAATGATACCTCATCCCATGGTGATGGATGATCTCACCTAGCAGCTTCATGTAGATGTTAAAAAGGAGCAGAGAGAGCACCAAGCCCTGTGGCACCCCACAAAACGGGGGCCATGGGCTGGACCTCTCCCTATAAACACTGATTGGGACTGACTTTGGAAGAAGGAGATGAACCAGCACAAAACTATGTTCCCCACCCCCAACTCCCGCAGCTGACCCAAAAGGATACCATGGTTGAAGGTATTGAAAGCCGCTGAGAGGTCAAGAAGGGCCAGGATGGATGCACTACCCCCATCCCGGTCCTGCCAGAGATCATGTAAAAGTATGACCAATGCTGTTTCTGTCTCATATCTGGGCCTGAAACCTGAATGGAAGGGGTCCACATAATCCGTTTCATCCAGGATCCTCTGGAGCTGTAGCACCACTACCTTCTCTACCACCTTCCCCAAAAAGAGGAGGTGAGAGACTGGATGAAAATTGTCCAGAATGCTGAGGCTGAGTAACGGCTTCTTGAGGAGCGGGCGAACCAACATCTCTTTAAAAGAAGCCAGGAACACCCCCTTTCTCAAGAATGAATTAACTATTGCTTGAAGTCACCCACATGTCGCCTCCCAGGTGGCCTTGACCAACGAGGAGGGGCATGGACCTAACACACATGTGGCTGTGATGTAACGCACAGGCGGCTGTGCTTACAAACCCAAAGACCCTGTCCACTTCCTCAGACCCAACAAACTTCCCAGATAACTGGGCAAGTGCACTCCCCAAGTGTCTCCAAAGGACCTGCACCACACTTGGCTTCCAACTGGGAAAGAATCAAAGCCATTTTTTCATCCAGATGTCCAGCAAATTCTTCTGTGCAGCCCTGAATGTAAACTTCTGAGCCCCCCTTACCCAGGAGGGTCCGGGTAACCTTAAACAGGACTGCCGGGCGGCACTCTGTGGATGCAATAAGAGCAGAGAAATAATGGCAAAATATATAAAATAATTTTAGGACATTATTAAAGATCAAGATTGTTAAAAATAAAAGGAAGGAATATAAAGTTGGCTTATTTGATCAAGGTTAAAATAGACATGTTATCTCTGGTAATCCTTAATGGACTTTTACTGATCAGGGCTGAAAGGACAAGGTTTTTAACGGTTTGTTTATAGATAAGTGATGGGATATGTTGTATTTTAAGAGAAAGTGATAAGTTACTAAAAGTGTTTATACTTGTGATGAAGGGGAAGTCATATTTCTTTTATTTTTCTTTACTGTATTCTTATTTTTTCTATTTTCTTTTTCTTTTCTGCACCTTCTATTCTTTTTCTTTTTTCTTTTTAGTTTGTATTAGTTTTTTATCATTGTAATTGTAATTTTTAATAAAACTACTATTAAAAAAAAGAAACCAAGTTTTACGAGGAATGGATAAGGTTTCTGGCCTCTTCACTTGCAAAAGAGACTGAGGGAAGGTATGATAGTCCTCAAATATTTAAAAGTCCGCTGTGTGCAAGCATAGAGAGGACTTATTCTTTTTTGAAGTTGAGGACAGGACAAGGAGCAATGACTTGACATTTTTAAAAAGAAGATTAAGACTGAGTATTAGCAGCACAGTTTGCTTAGAACAATAGTGGATGCTGGTCGGACATTTGTTAGTGATTGTTTAGTGCAATTGCACCAAGCTGGGGATTGGACCAGATGGATATAAGGTCCCCAGTAATTCTCTGGTTCATTCAGTAGAGTTGTATCTTCTAGATAATCTCTAAATGTACTGGACTACAATTCCCATAATCCAGTCAGACTTGCCATTGAATTTCAGATCTGGCTGGAAGTGATAGAAGTTGTACGAACACATCTGGATCACATCAGATTGTTGGATGTTGCCTTTAAAATGTAATTTCAAACACAATAAATAGATTTCTTTGGTGTGTATTATGGAATAATGGTTGTATTTCCTGTTTTGCAAATGATGATTTATGTCAGTGGTTTATGAACAAAGGCGTTATTCCCATATTGCTAAATATAGCACTGCTTTTGATTATTCTACTGCTGTTTAGGTCACATTGGAATTGCTGTTCCTGATGTAAATGAAGCTTGTAAAAGATTTGAAGAACTGGGAGTGAAATTTGTGAAAAAACCAGATGATGGTGAGTCTGCTGTGAACAAGTAATTGCCTTCTACTTTGTACATAATACTAAGATTAATGGGTGAATTCATACATCGTGCCAAATTGTATGTATGTATGTTATTAGAGGCTAGCTTGATGTGTCTCTCCAACCTATTTGTCTATCTCTGGCTTGCTTTCTGCAAAGCAGTGATAAAGAACTTGTCTTTGAAAAAAATTTCTTGGAGAAGACATGACATTAATCTGGGAAAGTTGTAGAGGTTTAAAATGAGAACTATATTGGAATTTCTTAAAACTATATATTCATCTTTTGTAGGTAAAATGAAAGGTCTGGCTTTTATTCAGGATCCTGATGGCTACTGGATTGAAATCCTGAATCCTAATCACATGGTGACTTTAATCTAGGTTAGAAACAATAATGTACTGTGAGCGCTCATCAAGATACTTTTTTAACATTTGAGACTTCTTTAAGGGAAAACAATTGATGTAATCAGGAAAAAAAAGAGTATAGCAAGCTGATCCTGCATTCTGTTTCTCCTCTTCCCACTTACTTTATCAATTTGGTTCTTAACTTGGACATTTTTAGCATAACACAGTAGAATTCAGACTCTTTTCTACACTACAATTTGGAGGTTTGGAAGTGAGCGGCAGTGAACTGATTTTCTCATACACCTTTCTCTTTTCCTTGTTTTGTGTGGAAGGGGAGATGGGAAGCTCGATTTTTTGCTTTGTGGCAACCAATTACCCATTCAATTTGAAGACAGAATATTCTAGTATATATATATTTTTTGTCCATGTAAACCTGTGGTGTTATTAAGATCTCTATCATAGTTTGAATTTCCAAATGTATAACAGGAAAACCAGAAGTTTCAGCTTGCTTTTTAGAAATTTACTTCTGTCTCCACTAAGCAGTGATCTCTTGGGGTAGAACAACCTTCAAAACTTTGTTTTTTTAACGGTGAACCACAATTAGTGCAAATCATGCCTAAGTGAAATAAGGTCAACTTTAAAAGGAAGAAACATTGTTTTGCCATGGTGCCTGAATGCAATCATATGTTCTGAAATTTGTCTTCTGGAGAAATGTTTATCATAGACCCCTTTTCATGGTTGGTGAATTCTGTAGCACAATACAAATAGATTCTTGCTCCTAGTCTAAATAAAGGTTGCTCTATTTGCATCATTTTAAAGTGCTGACAGAAGATCAAAATGGCAGTTCAAATCTTTTTTTTTCCTGGAAGAAAATGGAAAATATTAAATATTTGCACACTGGGCAAAAATACTGAAGTCGTACTCTTTTTTTATTCTGTATTGGTAAAGCTGATTCTGATTTTGTGGACTCTTGTTTATGCTTCTTTATATTTGGCACTAGGAAAAATAATTTCAGGACCTGTTGGGGAAAAAATAATTTAAAGTCCGTCTTAAAAGCAACTCTTCTATAGATAAAAGAAGTCTGTGGAAGTCTATTCCATCCTTCACCAGTCTGTACATCCTCCAGATATGCTGACTAACTCCTAGGAACTTTCAACAATGGCCATGCTGGCTTCCACACATTGGAAGGTTCCCACATTTGGAAAGGGTGGTCTTTTTAAAAGTAAACCACCAAGAACTTCATTGGGATGTTACCTCCAATAAGTATAAGAAAGCCTCATACTATATTGCTAGAGCCCTGTTGGTGACTTTGGCCCTGTTCAGTGTGTTGTGGATAAGTAGGAATACAGGACCCCTGACCTGCATGTGTTGAGCATTATTCATTCAGGTAAAACTCCTTGCACAATTGGGAAATCTTGAGTTTTGGCTTAAAGGTTTATACGTAACATTCCAGCAAAAATCAGTAGAAGGTTTCTATAGACCTTTGTAATCAACATGGGAAATCAGAGCCAGAGTGGGACTGTCATAGAGTATGTGACCCTGTGTTTGTTAGTGTGCTTGCTGTATCCTATTTAGGCATGCCTTAAGGCATTTAAAAATACTTCCAGAAGAGAGTTTCTGAAGTCACTGAATTGCACAACTTTTAAATAAAATACTATAGAGGAAATAGAAAAATACAGTTAAAGATGAGCAAGGAGTGTCATATTTCATGTGATGCTTCACTGATACTGATGTTGGTAGCTAGCACTTAAAGTGGAGTGGATGTTATGACATTTTTTTCAGGTGGGCTTTGACTACACACTACTGTAACCCCCTGTTGGGCACTGGGAACTACGTGATTTGCAAACACTTCTAAAAATATATGATTATATTTGTTTGTACCTTACTGTGAAAAAATAAATAAATGGAGGTGACTAGTATTTCATATACTTTGGATTTAGAGTAAATAAATGTGCTGTTTGCTTGCATTTAAGTGACAGTTGAATTTTATCTAGATACTGTTGTCCGCTCTCTATATGTACATACAAGCTCAGAGCACACAGTAAATACATACGTTATACTTAAAGAAATGAGTGTGGTTGCATGTAAAGGAGGTTTAAATTCTGAAAAAACTAAAAGCAGCATACTAATTTGAAAGCTGTAAAGTGCTACTCTCTTGTGTGTGCATGTATAGCTAGATTAAACAAGAATGCTTGTTTGTGTGTGTGTGTGTATACACATATTCATGTGGACATGTATTCACCACCTCATGCAATGCATACACCAGAGTTAGATTAAAAAGGAGATTGCAGAAGATGGCTGGTGTTTGTCAAATAAGGAGTGGAAAGTAGAAGTAGCAGGACATGAGTGGTTGATTGCAAAGGGAAAAACTAGGCACTTAGTAAAAAAATTGCTGGCTTTAGAGAATACACTATGTTGAGAGTCAGTTTGTTGTACAAGTAGTCCTCCCTTACTATTTGTTCAGCGAATGTTCAAAGTTACGACAGTGCTAAACAAATAACTTTATGGCCAGTTTACGACCATTTATGACCTTTGCAACGTCCCTCGGTCACGTGTTCACCATTACAGTCAGTACGCGTTCTGTGCCAGACCTGTGTTTTTTTCCTTTTTTTTTACCCCTTGCACAGCAGAGAGATTGGAGTGAAAGGGATTGCAAGAGAGTAAGCTGATTGCTCTTCTACACATCAAAAGCAATGTGATTGTGCTGGCAGCCCAGGGCTAGGAGCCACGGGTGCACTATGCAAACAGCTTACAGTACTCTCTTGAAATCCCTCTCCAATCTCTCCATTCTGCGGGGTGGGGGGTGGGGGAAAGCAAGTGATGTCTGTAGGTAGTCTGTCCTTTGCCTGACCCTTTCCTGGTGCCCGCACGATTGCATTGCTGTTGATGTGCAGAAGAGCAAACAGCTTACAGTATTCTCTTGAAATCCCTTCCACTCCACTTTCCTCCTCTGCAGACGGTTACCACTTAGTGACTGCTTTGCTCAACAGCAGAGTTGCCGGTTTCAATTAGGATTGTTAAGTGAGGACTACCTGTAGTATTTAAGGCATCAGGCTAGTAACTGGGAGACTGTGAGTTCTAGTCCCACCTTAGCCATGAAGGCTGCTGGGTGACCCTGGGTCAGTCACTTTCAGTCCTAGGAAGCAGGCAATGGCAAATTACTTCTGAAATCTTGCCAAGAAAACTGCAGGAGTTTGTCCAAGCAGTTGCCAAGAGTCAACACTGATTTGAAGGCATAATAATAACAATAATAAGACAAAAAAACCCTGGATAGTGGACATTGCAATACCTGGAGACAGCAGAAGAGAAAGAACTAGAGAAAATTACAAAGTACAAAGATCTGCAAATAGAAGTAGAACAACTGTGGCAAAAGAAAGCAAAGATAGTACCAATAGGAAAAGATCCCTTGGGTGCAACCCTAAAACATCTGGAGCACCACTTGAACACCATCGGCATTGACAAAATCACCATCAGTCAATTGCAAAAGGCAGTTTTACTTGGAACAGCTTATATCCTGCGGCGATACCTTTAATGCCATCAAACAACAACATCAGTCTATTCCAGGTCCTTGGGAAGGACTCAATAGGTGG